AGTGAGGCTGGCTTGCCTGAAGACTCAGCTACAGTGGGCAGAGCACTCCTGACCGACTTGGACGTGCTCGGGACCCATTCAGCGTTGGAAGGTTCCAATGGAGGGCGAAGCACAGACTCCATGAGCAAATATTTCAGCCTGGCTACCCCGTTCTTTTATGAATGGGGCTTGATCCCTCTACAGATGTGACATTTGTCACCTACATGTGCGTCCCCAAGACATTTCAGGCAGCTGGGGGTTGCTGACTGGCATTGGCTTGCCACAGGCCTTGAAGCCAAGAGAGCACAGCATGAGTCTGTTACTGGACCCACTGCTCAAATGAGCCCCGGAGGGCAGGCTAAACTAAGAACTAGACTATACTTATGATAAGCTAAACTACCACAAGAGGACCTACATACATAAGAAGGTGAAGAAGATTTTTGAATCACAAAGCTCACAGCTACAACAACTGTCATTGGTGGTAGGCTGGAATAGAAGGGGGTTGGGGCATGGGGAGGCCCTTTATATCTATGTGCAGTGTTGCAAGGCACCAGGGGGTGTTCACGTTGCCCCAACAGTACTGCTGAAGGTAAAAAGCTCTGACAATTGTGCATGAGGCACGCATACACCTACAATGGCATGGACATGCACAATCACTTGAAGAACCAAAGTCTCCTCATCTTCCAGGGAGCAGCTATGATTGGCCAGCTATATGGGCCCCTCCGTGATGTCAACCACACCTCTTTTTATTAAATGAAAAGTAAGACTTTCCTAATGGAATGGGGGAGATTGTGGCCCGTGAACCCAAGGAAAGGCATTGGTGAGAAAAAGTGGGGATCTGTTGTGAGGCAGTGGTGTAATGTAATTGTAAGCCAGTGTCTGAATGAGCTCTCCCCTGACATCTCATGATGAAGCAGGGGAAAAGACGTCAGGAGCAGACTGTATTTGCATAGACAAACCTACTCTATCTAGGTGTTCAGCAGACAGAACTGCTTTGCAAAAGTGATCAATTTTGCCTAGTTTTGGGTTCCAATTCACTTAATATTGAATGCAGGAGTAATTAAATGTTATTCTTATTGTATGAGTAAAGGGCAGCAGAAATATTCTTAGCATGCCCTGATTGAGGTGGCTCACCCTAAACTGAACCTCAGTTCCTAAGCATAGGGTAGCACTTCCAAATGCCTAGGAAAGGAGGAATCAGTATTTTTATGTGAGGATATGGATTTTAGAGAGTTTCAGATATCATTTTACTGTCTCCTTTGCAGTGTTTAAAGGCACAACTGATTGGATTCAGTTGAGAGATCTTGTTGTTTTTTAAATCACTGATGACCAGGGCTGTGGGATAAGTCTTAAATGTGGTATGGGGACAGGGTTGCAGTGAAAGAAAATGAAGAGGCAGCAATGGAGAAGTTCCCCCTACTCAGTGAAATCACGAAGAGCTGAGCTAAGTGGTGGATACTCAGAGTGAAGCATTGCAGAAGTGGCAGAGAGTGGCAAGCAGCAGTAGTGATTACAGCAGCAGAGATAGCAACAGTGAACCAGTTGCCAAGGCAGTGGTAGCAGCAGAGACATTGCGTGATGTGCCCCTCCCATTTTCACAGCTGGGAGGTGAATCCACATGAACTCCTCTCTGAATTCTGGGTCCTCGCTGACCAAGGACAACAAACTGAGTGGGGTGCAGCAGAGGGAAAGGGAAGTGGTGTGTTAAAGGGACATTCAGACTTTGGACTTTTACGCTGCAATGTGGGAAAGTGAGGCAGGAAAGGATGCTGTCCAATGTACTGTGAGATGGATGTTTGCTTATGGTTACATGCTTTCAAATCATGATTGTGATGTTTTCACAAATTAATGATGGGCTCCCTTTCCTTTTTAATAGACATTCTCTTTTGTTATCCACAGACTCACTTCTTGTGAGTGGGGAAGAATTGCCTCTAAGCTGGTTTTGTTTTGTATTGTTAAGAGGAATCCCTAAACAGAGAACCTGGCTCTTGTTGTTGCCAACACCGCCTGGCAGAAGGGTTACATGGTATAAAATGTGGGTATTAAAAAAACAAAGCAGGAGCAGGGGAAATCATCAGTGATAAAGGAAGGCTTTTTTTAAAAAAAGAAATAATATAGAAAACTTAAGAAACAAAACAACACAACACATTGAACCAGAAATCCCGTAAGCTCGTAATTTTGTTAGTATTACCCTTTCCCCCTTCTTCCACCTTTTGTGAAACCCACTTGTGTCTGGGCTCATTTGGATGGTTTTTCAGGACAGGAACTTCCATTCTGTATTTGCACAGAGCATAGTACAGTAGGGTTTCTAGGCACTGCTGTAACAGTAAGAATTATTGTTAAATGGTCTTTTGTTTTATCACTTTCCTCCTAATGACACACAGTTAACTTGCTATGAAAATGATTTTTTTTTTTTCAAATAAATCTCATCTAATCTAATGTGGACAGTCTTCATGTAACAACATTCAACATTCATAGGAAATCATTAAATCAGAATGTCAAGTAGCTGTAAAACTACAGTATATTTTTTAAGGACTCAGCTTAATAAACGAAATAGCAGTTGACTTTTTTTACTTGATGGCACGCTGAGGCTGTGATTTTGGGTACTTTTTTGTGTTCATGTAACCAGAAGGTTACCACACTTAAAAAAAAAATCCAGCCTCAGAAAGGCCTACCAACTTTTCAAAGGGTTGATAAAGGAGGACAATTACCACAAATGTGTACTATATTTTAATAAGGTTTTTGACATGACTCTAGTTTAGATAGATCAGGGGTTCTCATACTTCATTGCACCGGGACCCTCCTTCTGACAATAGTTACTACTTGACTCCTGGGTGGGGGTGTGTCGGAGCCTGAGCCCCTCTCCCCACCCCCCCGGGTGGGCGGAAAGGGAGCTGCAGCCCAAGCCCCAGTGCCCTGGGTGTGGGGGAGGGGAGCTGCAGCCTGAGCTCCACTGCCCCAGGTAAGGCCAGAGCTTGAGCTTCAGTATCAGCTCTGGGTCCCAGCAAGTCTAATGCTGGCCCTGGCAACCCCGTTAAAATGGGGTCGTGACCCACTTTGGGGTTCCGACCCACAGTTTGAGAACCAGAGATAGATAATTGCTTGCCAGATATTTCTGTTACAGTTGTCTATTGTTTTTATGCTAAGTGTCAGGTATTGAGAGATGCCAACATGGCCTTGATCAGACTCCATTGAAATGCATGCTATCTGCTCACAAGGATCCAAATGACAGGACTGCAGCCATAGGCAGATTTTTAAATCATAAGTTTACTTTCTTCAAACTTTTCTATTTCTTCTTTTTGCTGTTCAGAACAACTTTAGTATTTTCTCTTTATGTGTTGGTAATCTAAAGGATTAGAAATCAAACTATGTATCTAGAGTTCTTCACTCCCTTCAGAGACTGAGACCACAACCTCCAAGATATCCATTTTTATAGACACTGATTATAATAGAGAACATTTCTTAAAACTATTATTTATTTCCAGTGACGATGTGGATGTTTTGATGAAAAGTTCAATGAAATAAAAAACAATCACTGAATTCTTTGCATATTTTATTTTTCTTTTTTGGATTTCCAACTCACACACATCTGGCATATTTTACATCTTTGCAATAAAACATGGTTACAATAGCTTAAGGAATTTATATATCCAAAATATTTCACCATGATCTCAAGATGAAATGAACTTGTCTTCCAGATGTTCAGTATTCTCCCAATTCTAAGCTATAAACTCAAGATATTGCTTACAGACTGGTGATGAATAACTTAATCATTACGTTGATTCCCCATGATTTCAGAATCTTTTAAATACAAACAACAATGAAGAAGGAATTCAGTGCTAAAACTTACTAATACAAGGTGGATAACAAATAAGTAATCACATCAATAAATAATGATATGTTTCTGGTGCAAAGTGCCAATACAAAGAATCCATTATCATTTTAAATAAATGACTGCAAGTGAGTGTAAATTCTGAGAAAATTACATTCCTGTTACATGCCTCATAGCCCTACCGACACAATATGTACATCTATGACAATACAGTCACCAAATATACAAAGAAGAAACATGAAATAAAGTGTATATACCCCTGGGTGTGTAATTTGATCAGTACAATGTGTGGAAAATTATTCTGATAGTCATCATTACAGTACTGTAAAACATGAAGTGCCTTAGGCTGAGAATGTGACTTCCGGTGAGATTTTCAGAAGAACCTAAAAGAATAACTTATCTTTGCAATAAAAGCTAAGGTTGTTAAACAAACCAAGCTATTCAGAGGAAAAATAAGAGAAAAATGTAACTGAGGCCCTCTTCCCTCAGTGGACCATATGCCAAATGTGATGAATCCAGAAGTATAGCACTCTTGCCTTGTTGGGAGTCATTAAGCACTAAAGAGCATTACAAGACTCTTGATATAATGAAAATCAGAACCTTTCCACTATGCTCCCTTTCTGACTTGTCTATAAGTTTAAAAGGGAAGAATTTAACTTTCATTGTATAAGTATGGCAAATGATGGCTTCTTATCCAAATGCTTCATGAGCAAAACTCCACTTGGAAGAGAATGAGTTTAGATTTAAAAAGTGAAAAACATATTTTGGTGAAAATGTCAAAATTACTGATTGCACCCAAATTCAACCCTTTAATGCAAGCTGCACCCTTAGACAGATCTCCAGTTTGATTTGTGTGAATACCCCTGTTCCATCAAGACATCAGGTTTAAAGTACATGCAAGTTGTAACTCCACAATAAAATTAAGAAACATTTTTGTTCTTTATACAAGGTTTTACTTTTACAAAAGTATCCCTTCAAAGTTAAGATGTGCATCTGATGTACAAAGTATCAAACATATTTTTTTTTCTCAGCTTGAAAAGAGACTGGAAATGGGATGCATGTTAGATTCACAGACTAAACATCGTAACAACTGGACACAAGGTTCCTCAGAATTTTCGAAAGTCTCTTGTGGCGCATCCTACTACCTTTTCTCAATCAACAAAGATATATGAAATAATTACCAAAACATCTCCTAATTCATATAATTTACATGATACAAGCTTGCTTTTCAGCAGCTGGTGTTCAGTTGTGAAAAAACACACAAAATAAAATGGTTGCTGACTACAATGTACAGCTATTGCTGGGTGTAATGGAATGTACAACGGAGGTCAATGCAGACGTGTTTTTCCACCAGAGATTACGCCTTTCATTGTAGCACTTGTGCTCTCAGCTTTACCTTGGCTTTCAGTTCTTCATTCAGCTTCAGTATCTGTTCTGATGCTCATAATGCCACCGATTGAAATCTATATTAAAAGCTACAATGCTACCAGAAGCCATGCCAGTAATCAGAGTTCTGAAAAAGGTAAAAAGATAGATACTGAACTTGTTACATTTTTTACCCATATATTAGTCATCTTTTAACTTTCAAAAACTGCAGGTTATGCTGAATATTAAAAATAGCAACAGAACAGGGGCTTCTCTTTGACAGTTATATATAAATGCATATTGCGCTAATTAGGTGTTCTTAAAAAGTTTCATACTGAATATACTCCTAGTTTCTTTCTTTAGCAGAAGTAATTGTGATGAGTTTCTAGTTACAACTGACTCCTTTAATTGTGAGTCTGAGTTTTTCTTATCTGCCTCCTACAACTGGATCTTGGATGTCAACCAATTGCTGATACCAAACAATACAAAATGCATTCTATCCGTCCCACTTAAATCGTGCTGAAAGTAAGCCTGTGCTTATGTGCATTGCTGAAATGGGGTTTCAGAACCCAGCATTAGAATCAGAAGATAGAGAAATTAGTCTAGTAAAAAGAATCTGCTATATTTGCTTATTGTAAACAAGAAGCTATAGAACGCTGTACAGCACTGTAACATAAACTGGCAGAATTCCAAGAGTAAATAAGCCTCATTTTGTAAGTTAGTTTTGATTTGGCTGAGACAGAAATCTTCTTTCAGATCATCAAATGAAACACAAATAAATTGAGTAGGTATTTGATGTATGGATATTTTTGGTGTTGTATCAAACAGTGGCACATAGTATAAAAATTCTAAAAAGTGTAAGAAAAATAAGCTGAAATGAATACTATAGGATTTTTAAAAATCTATGTATTCTTCACATTTCATGAGTGTGAGTTTTGCTGACAAACACCATACTGGCAAATGACGCAAAAACTAAACCCACTTACAACCCGGTATAAATACATCATTAAGACTTACATTTTAATCACACTAAAATAGGAGATTCAGAGATCAGGCTCATACATCCCTGCACTGGCCAATGATAATACAATACTCACTCAGGCCCTGATCCTGCAAACACTTATGCATATGCAATCAAGCCAGATCCTTAGCTGCCATAAATCAGTGTATCTCAGATGAAGTCAATGTAATTTTCCTGATTTACACTAAGGGAGGAAATGGTGCATGGGACTATGTGTCTGCTTAAAGTTAAGCAGATGTAGAAGTGCCTATAGGATCAGAGCCTAAAATGTCAATTCAGCTAGATCAACAGGAAATAACTGAGAGCTTAGTTGTATCACATATTTTAAATTAAGTATAACAGTAGTTTAACATGCTAACATCAAGGAAACAGTATTTAATAGTTTTGTTTAATATTTACCGGATGATTTTAATTCTAATGCAGCAACTCACCTCTGATCATGAGACAAGTCCATTGCTCTAATGCCAGCATCACAGCCAGGGTAAATATAGAGCTGTTTAAAATCACAAGCCTGCCACACTTCCACTACTCCATTGTCCCCCCCAGTCACGAGGTTCTGTCCATCACTGCTCAGGAGGATGGCCTTCAGAAGAGACAAACAAAACCGGTAACTTCAGGTAATATTGGGGAAAACTGACAAACAGCCCCACAAATAGCTTTCACTAATGGAGTGTATGTTTATGTTTCTACCCACATTTAAAGGTGAAGAGAAATACTTAAAAATAACAACTGTTTAGGGACCCCAAATCTTCAATAAATTACCTGTGTGCCTTTAAAATGAAAAATAAATAAATTTCACCTGCGACCTACAAAGCTTTTAAGTGCCAAGACTTGAGTTCAGCATGCAAAACTTGTGTTTGCCCTGCAGTATTTGATGCCATCACTAACACCTAAGGCAGAGTAGAGATCTGCATTCCTTACACTGCTTCAAGTGCTACTGATAGAACAGGGCCTGAATTCATGTCTTTGCTAATAAGTAAAGAAGGAATTAATTTCAAACAATTTTGTTTTAAAGACATATTTCCCGCTGAAATTTAAGTCTGAACTTAAATTCCAGGAATCATCTGGTATCAAAAACAATTTGTTCTTACTTATTTTGAAAAAGCATGAGTTCACTGCTGACTTGAGATGGACATAAAAGGATATCTATTTGAACATTACATTTTCTGAGAACAGCAATTTTACACGCGTTATTTTCTCAGGGGTGAAAGTAAGATAAAAGACTTACCGACATGGGCCCCCGGAAGGGGCGGGGCCTCGGGCAGAAGGGGTGGGGCTGGGGTCAGCCTCCCTAAGCCAGCCCTTCCACGCTGCCCGGTCTGTGCCGACTGGGGCTCTGGCGGTGATTTAAAGGGCCCGGGGCTCCGGCCACTGCCACGGTAGGGGCAACAGCGGCCGGGATACCGAGCCCTTTTAAATCGCCAGGCCCCAGGGCAGCTGCCCCTTTTGCGCCCCCCTGTCGGCAACCCTGCTGGTAGGGTGCCTACCCGTCGGTGCTTTAACGTGGGCTGTGTGTGTGCCGGTACCGGCGGCCACTTCTTACTGGTATGCCGTACCAGCCCATACCGGCCCACTTTCACCTCTGTATTTTCTCTAAGTAACATTGCAAATACATTCCATTTATTTTAAAAAAGAACTGCTGTGTCAAATGGTTGTTTGCATTTAGATTTACCCTGGTTGAGTCACTGATCTCCATCTGAGCTAAGAGTTTGCCATTAATGCTGAAATTGCTGAACCGTCCTCGCTCATAGTAGATGATGCAGTGGCCTTCACTAGATACTGAAATTAAGCGAGGGTACAAGCAGTTTTCAGTCCCTTCAAGTGCTCTCAGCAAATCTCCAGTAATTGTGTGTACCAGACAAGGACCTTCTGTACATTGAAAACAATAAAATATATTATACAGATGCTCATGTCACAAACTATATGCAGTATGCATACAGACAATATGTACAGACATAGGAAGACATAGTCCTTGACCTAAAAAGATTACAGTCTACAACAACAACAACAAAGCAGGTGGCAGCAGATGGAGGAAAAAGATACAGCATATCAGCAGAGTGCTATTTTTTTAATTTACTTTACCTGTTAACTACTTTCAATTGTGAGTATTTTTACCCCTTTTCTAATAATTAATCTTTGCAAACTCATCCCCTTCCTCCTCCTAGCTGTTCAGAAGTCTGTTAAGCTGCATTCCCCCTTGTTAATGTGAACTCATTCCATCCCACCCCCATCAAACAGCCAAACAGATGGGGCCCTATCAGTGTAAGGTAGAGAAGGCTCCCTGGGGACAAGGTAGCCACGTCACCACATGTTCCTCCTGCAGTATCTGGCAGTTCCTGTAGGTCTCCTCCCCGCATGGATGTATAACATGCACAGATTTTAATACTGATTTATTATTACAGTGGATGTAATAAAAAAGTCAACATTTGTGACTCCCTAGTGATGGTGGTAGATGGTATTTTCTAAAGAATTTTTAATGGTGTGCACTAAATATGCATTTTCTTCAGGTAAATTTTATTTAATTTGTATGCCATTTTTTACTGTTGTTGGTAACAAAAAGAAAAGTATAAAAGCAAGAACATACTTTTTAAGTGCTGGGCTCATCAATTTCCATTTAAGCAATTTTTTTCCAAGTGAGGTGGTGAAAATCTCTTTGGGAATCTAGATATCGGTTCTGCGCTAAGAGAAATAGTCTCTTCTGTGACAAGTGTAACAAGCCATACTCCTTAAAAGGAGCACAATCTTTCTCTTAAAGAACTTGGGCCCTGATACAGCAGCTGGATTCATGAGCCCCACTAACTTCAGTGAGCTCCAACACATGGGCCCATGGGTCTGCCCATTTAGATCCAGTTGCAGAATCTGGGACCTCGTTTGTGAATTCTTTGGGAAAGGGACTATGTTTTCCTCGATTTTTGTATAGGGTCTAATACAATGAAAGTCCAATCCTTACTGAGGCCATTAGACACTACCTCAATAGAAAAAATAATAGTCTCAAACTGCTGTTTGTCAACTTCAGAAACAGTAAATGAAATGCAGGAAAGTTGTGAGATGCAGACAGAGCCAGTTTTAGAACAATTAAAAACTAGATTACTCAAAAGAAAAGAGTAATACATTAACATTTAAACAAACTGACAAACTGGCTGTTTCCTTGGCCCACATGACCCATCAGGGAAGGAGAAGAAAGAAAAGAAGGAAATCATGTGATTCAGGAATCTGGCCTAAAGAAATGCAGACAGACCACTCATGTCTATGCTTGAATAAGAACATAAGCAGATATAGGGAAATTCTCTCAACTTGATGTGGAGGACTTTGGTTGCTAGACTCCCATTAACTCTGCCTCCTTGCCTAGTCATGCCCTAGTGCATTATTCTCTAGGGCTGTGTGTCTGTTACTATAGTGAAATGGAGTGCGAGACAGGGACATGTGAGATTTAGCGAGAGAGCTGAGTCCATGTAGTGTTGTTGTGAAAATGGAAGCGGAGAAACTGGAAAGGAGGGAAACTGCAGGGGAAGCTTGAGAAGAGGAATCAGTGAGAAAACATAGATGGGAGAACTTGAATGTACATACCATAGGGGCTGGCGTAACTAAGGGAAGACCATGAGAGAGAGCGCTCAGGAGAGCAGAATTTGATGGTGGGTTTCTGGGACTAACAGTGTAGGCCCCAATTCCTCTTAATCAATGAGGGATGTATTCTTTATTTGATATGTAGGTCTTTAGTTGTCCAACATCCAGTGCCTCTATAAAGAGCTGAATTACTAAAGCCTTACATTTCCATTAGTGTCTAATGAAGCTGCGGATAGTCTACCACAGACCTCAGCCATAATAATAGGAGGTTTGCAACAATACAGTTCAAAAGGGTACAGTCCTATGGCATTAAAGCAATATGAAGCTGGCTTATGGGCTAAGAATTTACATCATATCATTTATATCAGCAAGAAAAAACTTCAGGGTAGGTTCCTAGCTACTGTGCTTTATCTCATGAATTTATTGACCTAGCCTACCCTTCTTATATAATAAGTCATTATTATCATTAATGACCCATTAGCATTTCCTGTTAGAATCTACAGTATTCAGAGGTTTCAAAGTCAGCTATGAACATAAATGTTGAGCTCAAAGTTGTCAAAAAATGTATCAGTCCAACAAGCTTAATTGTGAATGTATGGGGCAGAATAATCAACCTGGCCTTTTCGCCCTCAGAAGCAACAACCCTTCTTAGGAATTAGTGGAAGAATAAATTCCTATGAGGAGACATGGATGAAAGAGGCATCATCATAAGGCGAAGAGGAAGAGGGTTGGATCTGCGGGAGAAGGAATATAGGAATTCGAGGAGGAGCCGATGGGACAGAAAGAGAAATGAGGGAGAAGGGATCATGAAGAATCAATAAAATAATGTGGAGAGAAGAAGAAGAAAGAACAAAAAAAGGGAAGTAAGGGAGAACACATAAAATAACAGAGGTGAATAGGAAAGGATAAGAAGAAAAAATATGCTGCTTTTCAAGTCAAGAAAAGGAGATAAATGAGAGCGAGCCATGCAAAAAAGTTTGTAGATGGAAATGAGAAAGCAAGAAAAGGAACTGAGATAAATGGAATGAACCAAATGGAAAGAGTGAAAAATAAAGGAATGCAATAATACAGTGTTTCCCAAACTTTGGACGCCACTTGTTTAGGGAAAGCCCCTGGCAGGCTGGGCCAGTTTGTTTACCTGCCGCATCCGCAGGTTTGGCCGATCGCGGCTCCCACTGGCTGCGGTTCGCTGCTCCAGGCCAATGGGAGCTGCTGGAAGTGGCGGCCAGT